ATTTTCTAGGTGTTAATTACCGGTCCGGCTGATACCCCGTATGCGAATGGATGTTTTGAATTGGACGTGTTCTTTCCACCGGACTATCCGTTGTCGCCCATGCTAATCAACCAATAGAAACACTTTCGTATCATCGTACAAACGGATGCATGGGACATGGGCTTTTGAGTTTGACACGCTTGATAAACACTGTTCCTACCTGATGCTCCAAGATCTGGTACAGCAATTCGCAGGCGGACTGCGATCCCGGAATGTTTTCGATTACTTTATCCTGCAACCTGAAAGCTAAGGTCAACATGGGCTCCACTATGCTTAAGCGATTGTCCAACAGGTTTCGTATTGTCGCCATGCCATTTTCGGGGCTAAAAAGCGACAATTCTCTGAGCACACTTTCCAAATAGGGCAACTCCCCGGGATACATCTGCGAAGGAACCAAAAGCATACTGCAACAGGTGTTTAGGAAATTCGGCACCAGCGACGCCGACTCCACGATTTGTCGTCGTAATTGCGGATCGACTGCCACCATAAAGCAACCGTGAAGTAACAGGATGCCCGCTAAAAGGAAGCAAATTATTTGAAAATGCTGCTCGTTTTGCGGTTATTAAGGCAACGCCAGTAGAAATTTGTTCAGAGAGAGTGCTGGCTTGAAGTGCTGGATTATTAGACCATTGACGGTGCAAACACTCCAAGCGAGCACTTCCGAACATTTTCCCCATAGTCAGCATATAGTATGTGGTGCTTACACGAGCCGAGATTGCAATATTCTTCATCAAGTTCACCTAGGCTAGTACGCCCAAATACACAACTACCCAACAAGCGAATTTGCACCAATCCAACAGTGTTTCCGACTTTCGGTTTGTACAGCCTTATTAGCACGCAATTAACAACTTTGGGACTCGGAAGCCCCAGGCGGATAGAAGTCATGCCACTGGTCGCTAACGGATAGCAGGCTGGCACCAGTCCGCGTGGTCCATCAGCTGAAGTCTGCATACATAAAATCGAGATTCGATCAATTCAGTATTATAAAATCGGGCAATTACCTCGATCGCAACATATGAAGGGCATGTGGCAAGACTGCTCGCGTGAGGTTGAAGTTGAACTTCCTTCAGCAGCACTGCAGTAGGCAGCTCAAGCAGTAGATCCGTGTGGGTTTCGTCTTGGTACAAATTGTGAGACCAGAGTGCCGATCGAGATCTTCTATGTGTCACTCCAGATCCACCCTGTGCAAAACACAAGTTTAATCGTATATAACAAGAATTGGTGATGAGCGAGTCGGGCAAGACTCTTGCAAAAAGTAACTCGATATTGAGCCGCATTAGTAAAGTAAAGCAAAACACTCTTTATATTGCAAGTATGCACCGACATAAAAGATACGAACAAGATAATAGAATCAAATAATTGTTACCAATTGTGTAAATTTTAAATCTGATGATGGCGCTGTTCTCTCGCCGAAACGTAATTCAAAAAATGTTTACTTCACACTTTGACTGAGACCCAGGAAAGATAAGAATATCATAACAAGTACACGCAGTCAGGAAAATAAATCGGAATGACTGTGATTATCAAATGATTTTGATTTGGTTTTACGCTTCATTTAAAAGAAAGATCTGCAACAGCAAAACGCTCAGGACAAGACAACGCCAACATGAACATATCAATAAATAAAACGGTTGCACTAAATTCACTTGCTAGCATGAATACGTACCTGAATTAATACATCTGCAGGCTGAGACGTGATCGATTGGCACGTAATGGTACACGAGGGGGCAAAATTAATCAAACCACACAGTTCAGGGGTATTTTGGCAGCTCTTGTGAGTGGGATCCTCGTTTTCATGTTGGTATGAGCTGCCTTTGTTGAAAAATTCTAACACAGTTGTTATTGTGCCGCGTTTCGATACGCTGCTGGACACATTAATGCTGCTCACTACATTCGAAGCCAGACTCTGGATGCCACCTGGAAAAGCCGGAGAATGTAATGCACTCGCAACTGACTGACGAGATGGCTTATATTCGAATCAAACAATAGTTACCAGCATTGTAGAAACAGGCCACAGCCTCCTCATTGTCAAGTACTTGATGTATAAAGTGAGTAAGAAGCCGATTTAAATCAGGTTTTTGTGAGAGGAACATCAAAAGTGGTTCCATCACCAGTTCCCTTCGGGTAGCTTTCTTGACCAGAGTACAGAGAAATTGGAAGATCGCTTCCTCTACGGAGGTGGGCTCCGAAAAACTTAGAATATTCTACAGGGAAGAAAAGCATTCTAATTGAATCGAGATTAGTCAATAATAAGCAAACCTACCTTCAACGGTACGTCTGAAGATGTATCGAATCTTGACCTTTTAGAGCTGGCCAAGCACTTACAAAGGGAAATAATCGTTGGGTGGTGCTGTAAAACAGTATCGGCAAAAAACGGCGTGACCAGTTGGGACGGTAAGTTGTCGGCATGAAATTGATTAATTTGCTCTGCTTTCGATTCGTCGGTTTGTGAAAATGCCGATGGTTCTGATAAGTTCGTCGCGCGGCCCGACTGAAACGTGCATAAAAAATAAAAACTAAATGTAAAAAACATTGAAGCACTCACAGAATTGCTGTTGTATACCATCGGAGTTTGTGCCAGCTTTCCGAACAGTTTCAATAAATTTATTAGCAAATCTTCATAGGACACGGACCTTTCCGGCTTGGTGGCATCTGTGCCGAGCACACCAGCAAAGATATCGCTGAAGTTATTGTTCCAAATAGACCGCTTATCGCCTATTGGTAAGCATTTCACATTGTCAATACTCGTAAAATAGTGATTGAGTAGAAGTGCTGCAAAAAGGCATCCTTAGTATGTTGATTATTCAGCTCCATGAAACTTACATGCACTCTCCAGTGTGCTCATTCCAATGCTGATATCAATATTGGTAAAATCCAAGTACAATATTGACTGGAACAGTTTACATTGGGCATCCAAAGGGCCCAATCGCGTAAATATGGGACCACCGGGTCGCGACAATTGGTACACCACATTTAACATTACAGTCTTTAATAAGTTACCTAATTTACTGCACTGGCTTACTATATCACATCTAACTTGAAGTCTTACAAGGAAATCGTGCAACGCCTTGCACAACGTAGGCCCGGCCTAGAACGGAAAACTTGCCAGCGTGATGTTTATTGGTTTCTTCAATCTCCACTTACCGCGCCTGTTTCTCTAAATGCAATCCCACTTCCGGACAGGAAATTTACAAACAATTGCACAAAGTCCCGGTGATTGACAATTGTGCTCAGCATTCCAGTTGCGGAAAATGAAGAACCACCATCCCAACCGGCATTGCACACTAACGTTAAGGCCTAAAACATCAATTAGTTGACTGTGCACACCAAAATTCCTACTTTAATAAGGGGAGCAAGTGGATGTGTACAAACTGGATCAAATTTAGTCAAACAAGCATTTTGTAATAACTTTTATAATACTATGAAGGCTTTCACGGCCGGTTAAATCACATTTAGGAATGTTTTCCGGGCTTTGAAGCCGTGGTCTATGGGAATTTCTTCCGGACGTTTTGTCCACAGCTGCGGTGGACATTATCAAAGGCGATGAGGCAGTGGGCGAAGTGATCTCCCGTGCTTTCCGACTAAGACTGGATCCTCTGTCGTATTTATGCGGCCACAGGGGATCCCGTAGTTGAACCAGTCTTTGTCGGAAAGCACGGGAGATCACTTCGCCCACTGCTTCATCGCCTTTGATAATGTCCAGCGCAGTTGTGGACGAAACGTCAGGAAGAAATTCCCATAGACCACGGCTTCAAAGCCCGGAAAACATTCCTAAACTTTTATAATGTTTCAATAACTGGATTTTTATTTGAAAAAGATCTCACCTGCAATCCGAGACACCATGCCTTCAATGATAATCCTGGAGTCCACGCCAAGGCGGAGATCAGACCAACAACCGGCTCTGCCTGAATCTGTATGATCGGCGTGGCGGAAGAGTCGAACTTCGAATCGCGTTTGATACAGTTGAGCGTGACCCACAGATGCAAAACATCTTCTATCTGATCGGGATTCATAGTCTGGAGTTTGTTTAAAAGTTGGTCGAAACAATAGGATAACATTTGCGCAGCGTTCTGAACGGTAGATTCGGCGGCGAATAGGTCGACCTGTTCGGGCCAGGGCAACAGACCGCATTCCGTCTCTACGAATCGATCTTCTAAAACATTCTGTAGCAGTTTGTGCGTGTTTGCAGTCGTAAGTCTTTGTAGGCCTATTTCAGACATCGAGCTGAGGCCAATTTCTAAGCGCGCATCAATTGTAGTGCATGTGGTCGGTAGTGCGGAAACTTGAAATTTTGAGTTATCAAAGGTTAATTTAGCCGGCATCTGAACGGCAGGCTTCACTTTCTCAAAGGTCTCCAAGACTTCCTCAATGTCCGAATCGTTGGAATCGGTTTCAAATACAGAGGGCAGTGGCGGAAATGACAAATTATTCATAGGTTTCGATTTCGTCTTTGACGCATCGGATGAGTCTAAACTTGAATTGGCTTTATCGCTGGTATCACTATCGTCTTCATTAGCAAGTTCTGCAAATTTTCAGTTACGTTAGTTAGCCGCGATAGTTGTTGGAATAACTCAATATTTACCATTTACTGTAGAAGAACCCCAGGATGAACTTGACGCCCCCTCCCTATCTACTTCCATAACCTCAGCCAGATCCTCAATCTGCAAATCTAAGGCATCTTGCAAGAAGCATAAAAGAGCAAATGGGGCCCAGTGGACTTTACAAGCTAGTGTAAAGTGTATCAGATTCAACAGCTGGGATTCCGTTAACAATTGCCATAGTTGCAGTTTGGCCATTGTTGCTAGTTTTGATATAATCTGCAAAAAATACACATACAATCAGTAATATGAACAGGATAAACCTTAACGAGTTCTGATAAAAAAACAAGCCATTTATAATTCCATGTTCCATTCCAAGAGTTGTATATACTTTCCTGACTGTGTTTCAATTCCAAATCAAAATTCATTCCTGGGTTTCAGTCATTTATTGTCTCTATTTATCAATTAAAATACGTTTCGGTGTGTTTTTCCACCATCATCAGTTTTTCTCAAATAACAGATAGTTAAAAAAAATCATTAATTTAACAAACCCAGGAATGACTTGATTTATGAAGAGTACAAGGGGAAAACGTGCAAAGTAATCTATAAACAAGAAAATAGTGTTTCATGGCGCAATTCGATGTAATTTGAACAAAGTTAGCAACTGCGACTGAAACTGGAAAAAACGGAACTATAGATCCGAACACAAAGTGCAAATTGAAGAAATTAGAATGTGTTTTTTTCTATACAAGTTTCGCCCAGTATTTTCTTTGTTTCTTGTTTGGGAGAACCGGAAAGTATGAAAGTGCCGCAGGTGTCCGAGAGCGGACAGTCAAAATTAGTCCAGAAAAATATGCACTGTTTTCATTCCAGAAACCTAACGAATGGAAGTTTTTCAGAATTTTGATACATTCATTGGAATCAATCTTCGGGAAACATATCCTTTTCCAAAATAATTTTCTGTAATACCTGCCACACACGACCCCCTTAATTTTCCGTTCTTAATAAGTTTTCCAGTTTGTTGGCGGTTTCTTCTTCACTGAGGATACACCCAATGCGATTATTCGCGACTTTGCACGTTTTTTTACAATATTACAAACACATATTTACCTTAAATGACAAAATCATCATGTCCGCGCTAGCTGAATGGTCCATAGAGTTGATGAACTTTAGCAAAAGCCTCGCCACTGCCAAGCAATGAGCGGTGTCGACAAATTGTGGCTTGCTTTGTGGCACCCGCATTAAGTCAATGAGCGACGTTGGATCCCACAATTTGTCTTCGGCAGGACTCGCTTCCGCTCCAGGTGTCTTTTTAAAAATTCCACCTTTGCTCGTTTTGAACTCTTTTACCGTTGACCATGAAGTGTTGTTCTTCCACGATCCTAAAATTTTAACTTTTGCCTGCGAATCAGCACTTGGGGTCGTTGAGAGCTGAAAAAAGAACTTTCAATGTCTCCGTTACCACGAAAAGTTGCTGGAATTAAGTCACCTTTGAAGTAATTTCGTTATGAACCCATTCCCATCGATCATCCTCTCTTTTGTCAAATGTGAGTTGCAGCGAAAGATACATTAACAGCCATGACAAAAATGGTAAATCAACATTCACCGCCAATAGCAAAGATCTGTTAGTTTCGATGGGTTTCAGTGTTTTATAGACCACTCTCATAGCAGCATCAATTTTGGCAGAGTTCTCCGGACTCTTCCTGCTCAGATAGATCAGTAACACGAATAAGCGGTCCTGTTGAACCACTGAGTTGCTAGACGTAGAAAACAACTCGACTAGAGTGTCGGCCAGAAAGTTTCCCCAAAACAAGCTCGAGCCGGAAGATTTTTCTAAAAACATTGCCCCCAGCAACTGGATTCGGGCTGGCTCAGAAACGCAAAGGCCTTTGAAAAGGTGTTGGCAAAGGTCTTGCGGAAGTTGAGCAGTTTTATCAACTGATAGTAGTACTTCAAGTAAGCCTTCTGCGATGAAATTCAGTTTGTCTGTGGAAACAGTTGCTTCAACGGATCCCGAGTCACTAGAGGCTGATTGCGTCATGCCTTCCTCAATTCTGGACATCACATTTCGAACGGTGTTCATTTGGAGTTGGTAGGTGACAGCGTCCTGTAAAACGAAATTAATGCAATTCTCTATTTCAATTATCTTGGCGGTGATTTCGCGCACCGTATAGGCACTGATTAATTTCTGTTCATCCGTTTTCGAGCCAGTCCTATAGGAACTCTGCGTAGTGCGTAAGTAGCTGGATAAATGGCAAGTGTTTTTCACGTCAGCTATCAGGAATGGCTGAAGGTAATCCTTGAGCTTGGAACAAACCAAACTGTATCGGCAACTGATATCCTCCAGAAGCTTAGACAGAACTCCGAGCTGTTTTTCATAGTTCCGCGGCTTAATGTAAATGTCACCAGGCACGTCTTCAGGCAAGATAATCACATGGCCATAGAAATACCCCAGAGGAATTCGACATCTAGTAGTTGACATTCCATATCGGCCCACCAGAGTCACCTAAAGTCGAATATTACAGCAACTAGTTTAAAGCGTTTCTCATCCCTGTACTTACTCTCATAAATCTGCAAAGCGGTGGCGGTTGCAAGTCATTTAAAATCAAATTCTTGGTTCCGATATCGGATGAGGTGACTAATCGAACTGAATCAACTTCTTCGCCAAACAGCCACACGTCTATGGTTAACGATACCAAGTCCGAACATGATGGTATAATGATGTCTGTTAAGGACACCGAATCGCCAAAATCCAAAATCACGTGACGCTTTGCTCCAGAATGCATCCGTTCTACGACGATTACTTGTTTCGCTGGCGGAACTAACAATTGTTGCCACGGTAAGTTGCAACTTTTTATCATCGCTTGTTCCTGTGCGTTCTCTGTAGTCGCTTGATTAATTGGGACACTCGATGTGCTTTGGCTGTTTATTGACTTATTATAGTCGAAAAGATTCTTGTAGGCCATTGCTGAAAATTGGTCTTTTGCTCAATGCCGCTTGTGAATTTTCCTTCTATCCTTCTATTACCAGGCTTTGCTTTACTTACCCATCTTTTGTTCCGCTTCCTCAAACGCTTTGCTCATAGCAAAGTTATTCTCAATAATATCATTTAAGTGGGAACTGAAACATGGACTTGTGTCCATGTACTTTTGAACGAAGGATTGAAAATCTTCCTTTTTCGTTTCTTTTTGCGTCGGTTGAGTGGCAGCCAGAACGATCGGGAAAATGTTATTTACTGCGGTTTGCATGGTGGCATTCACAGAATCGGCCATTTCAATTCGGGTTCCCTCGCTCGTATTTATACACGAAAAGTGCAGCGGCTCGGCCTCGATCAACCCTTTGATGGGCCTCGGGAAAAAGATGTGTTTATTTTTCAATTTATTCTCTTTGATTGTGTCCCGCGGAGGGGAATCTGGAAAAATTGATTAAATCAAAAATCATCCTACAGACACGTGTTTATTTCAATTTTGAAATGTGAATCTTACCAGTTTTTTGCGGCACTTCCTGTGTATAGTCAGGGCCGATAATAATGCCTGAAGCCTCAGTGGCAGGAACAGCATTTTGTGCGGTTGAAGTGAAGTTGTAATACGAATTTGTACAAGAATCCTTGACAAAGGTCGGAGGTTCAATGTCGAATATCTCAGGTTCCGTAGGTAAACCATACAGACCATAGCGACTACGTAGTAGCAAGTGGAACGGATTCGATCGTTTGATTAATTCGTCCGCAGTCTAAAGCAAGAGAAAACTTTTTAGCTGTTTCACTAAAATTATCAAACAATAAATTCGACACGGAGTTTACTCACTTCTTTGAGAAGCGAGATGCATTTATCTCCGACGAGTTGTTCGGTGTCTTTTTTAGTCATCTTTAGAAGAAGCGCAAACAGCCACTGCAACGCCAGCGGTGATTTCACTTGTTTGATATCGGTCATAATTGTTAACAAGTTCCGCAGAACGACGTTATCGAATTGGTTGCCGAAAGAATCACTGATATTTTTGGTTTCGCTAGAAATCATTGCTCATAATAAACTCAAATGGTAAATCATTAATAGTTTCCCTTACCGAGAACACGTTAGCAGGAACAACATACAATTGTGAGCAATACTGCGACTGCCCCGTAATAAACATTTCCGCAGTAATCCAAGCATATTTTCGTCAATGCAAAGGGTAAATATAAGTTCCACTTGCTCGTCCGGAGAGATGACAGAATAGCGTTTGCTTGGCACCAATTTGATAGAAGCTATCCAATTCAATATATCTAAAGCCTTCTGATGAGTTTCCCGATTATTACTTGTTATAATCGAATTGAGTAACGATTGCACGAATACATTCGAGTCCAGCATTAGATTTCGCATGATTCTCTCGTGAATTATCTGTGGGTTCTCTGACGGCCCGTAAAGAGCTATGCTTAGCTCATGAATGCAATCACACCCTAAATACTGCGTATTTTTTCTCGTTGGAATGCCCAGCTTATCCATTACTACGTTGCCTTTGGAGTCTTTAGGCTTTTTCGCGTCTTTGTCGAACACTGCTCTTATGTGCAACAATAAATTCCTCACCTACAATGAATCAATTCAATTTAACTTGATTACAGTTTCAAGCTAATCAAGTGGTCATAAATACCTTAACTTTAAATAAGCGAGGACTAGTGAGAGTTACAATCCCACTTTGATCGGTTAAATCCAAATATTGACCAATACTGACTGGCCCTACTAGAAGGTCTGCATTATGTGCTCGCAAATATTCCTCCGAAACTACCGGATTTTCCAGTCGCCTTAGCATATCGATCGTCACTGAATCATCTACCGAAAACTTTACATCTTTGCCATGCCGTCGTCCGATCCCACCTTTCGACTGTCGTAAAAGAGACACTTCGACACGCGGTTTGGTGCAACCACTTTGCAAAGTAAAATGAACATCTACATGGCCTAAATGCTGAAACAAATTATGCCGAAATGACGCCACTAACAAACCAAACTGGGGAAAAAAGAGAACATCAGAAGTTGTTCGCTATATTTACCACGGGGGTTGGAAGTGCGATTTCAAAGATATGCTCCTCCCATGTAGTGGTATCGGTTTGAAGCCTCCACGTTTTCGTAGACGATTCAGTATTTATGATGGAAGTATTCCTCCTTTGTCTCATTGCCTGCTGAAATTCGCTCCAACAAGGAGGCACCGTCACATTATAACCGGACCTACAATATTACAACTTTATAACTTATCAATTTGCAGGAAACAAATTGCAAAATTGTACAGTTCTAAACTTAACTGTTGCGATGTTTCCTTATACACAACTAGGCAAATACTATAAATTTACCTGACAGGCGAAAAAAGGGTGAGCTTCTGCAGTGTCTTCAAGTCTTTCAGTGGAATGGGAGCTGGTGGCTCTTTGAAGCATCTGATTATATCCAACTTTTCCACTGCTGACATGTCTTTCACTGATTGATCAGCATTGAGAGGGAAAATATCGTCTTCCTCATGATCATCCGTTGACTCGTAGTCGCCCTCATTTAGTTCATAGAAATGTAAAGAACCTTCACTTGTCGATACACATAATCGGTCTAAACCTAGCAAAAAGAAAACAAACATGTATTAAAACAAAAAAAAAACGAACAATATAAACACTTACTATTACAATATACTGCAGACACAAACTTTTTGTCATCAATTTTCGCTATGCAAGCCGTTTTGAGAGTGGATAATTCTATGATTCTCACAGCTCCATCTGCGCAAACAATAATCACATTTCCTTCTATACCATTTTCGAGTTTCGCAAACGGCATTTTTAATTTATCCAAACTGGGTAGCAAACTGATCTCAACCGGTTTCTCCTCCGGCACCATGTGTCTTACATTTAAATAATTCTCATCAATTGTAACCATTTTGTTTGAAAAGTTTAATGCATACACTATGAGAAAATGTGCCGAAGTACTACATACTGTTACCAGTATGTGAGCCCCATCTTGAGTGGTTAGTATGCTTTTTATTTGCACGCCTTTGCACCTCTTGCAACCAACTGGCAGCGAAATGCACTGAACCGTTCTAGAGTAATTCAATCTTTTATTTGATTGATTGTTCTTCAAATCCACAATGTGGTCGGATATACTGGTTTCATTCGAATCGGGTTGATACGGCGGCAAAAACCCCAGCATGTCACTAGCAGAAACAAAATCCGCCTCACTGTTATTAATGTCGACTGTTAATAATCTAGGTCCGGTATGGTTTTTCTTTGGAGAATCGTTCGTCTTTGTGACGGGAGGCAGAAAAACTGAATCACTTTCTCCTGAAAATGATCAGAATTAGTCCAGCTTAGTTTTGGATAAATCATAAACTACCTGGAATTAAGGTTTTATAAAACGAAGTCAGTTCTTTCAATAGCACGTATTCGTCCTTTTTGCTCAAATCAGAAGAGTCGATGTCAATCAGTGAAATATGATTGTAAGCCAACGGGGCGTTAGTGACCTGTTTATCACAATCGATTTCACTTTGCTTGCTGTTATCACTTTTGTCCTCCGGCTCCTCTTGTTCTTTATTAAACATAAAGTCATAAACCACCAGATAAACGCCCGTTGTGTTGTTTACGTCGCGATCCAGATCAGTTCCTCTAATGACTTTTAAAAACCCAAAAATATCTGTTGGCTGCAATGTTGGCTCTATAACGTTATTGTCTGCAAGAATAAAGGCATTTTTAGTAGAAAATTGATAAACCTTATAACATGCAGCGCATACTGGAACGCGGTTTTCGCCCCGAGTATTTAGAATTTTACCTTGCGAGTTTTTGTCGAACTTCTGTGAAATGGTGATGCCACAAATGATGGTGGGTCGAACAGATTTAGTCACAGCTTTTTCCTTTGCAGCTTTATCACTGACAATCGACAAGGCAGTCACACGTTTATGAACTGAGACTTTTTCTGGAAACCAAAATGTACACTTTAGAATGCATCCCATCACGGAAAAGATGCGTTTCTGTACTTTCATCGTTCCAAAAGCCTGATCCAAAGTCATGAGTCAGTTTTTCCAAAATATGCGAATCAAAGTGAGTCACAAAGAACGAATGCGTGCGTTCGATTTTCCCAGACACGTCAAATACAGAAATAAGTCCATCATTTGTAGAGGTGGGAAGAAATTTGGGAATGCTGCTAGTTCCTATTAGTTCTATATTGTTGCCGCGAAATGTTGCATCTATTGCGGGCCCTGTAGAATAATCATAATTTGAGCTGCACATGCGACAATTTAAACATGATTACCTACCTGTAGCTTTTGACACGGAAATCGGAACATTTTGAGTATATTCGCCTATAACAAACGGACAAGTCGGCGAATGCCTTTCATGTTCGCTCCATGGCTCATCAGTTCGCTCCCAACTGACAAGACAAACTGTACACGTAAAACACATAGCTCTATCGTCTCCTGCTGTGTTTGGTTGGTGATAGAAACCAGCTTGTGCCATTTGCTCGGGTAAAGCCCATCTGTAAATATAACGAGCATTGGGTTCCTCAATGGAAAAACGATCAAGTCCTCAAACACTCACTTGTAGTCCATGTGAGGCCATTGTGAGAACGTTTCACGCCTTCTGGCTTCACTTGCCATCATTCTTTTATCGCCGGCATTGGTCGGCTCGCCCATCAATTCCCATATCCGTTCCATAACCGCCGAGGCCACTTGCAATAAAGGATTGTGCACTTTTTGGGCTATTAACTCCTTCACTAGCGCGGACATTATCTGCTTCAGTTCTCCTATCGGTAGTGTAATGCAAACAGTCTTCCACTAAAACAGCACAAAGGTTTGTTGTACATTTAGCCTCTAAGAAGCTAATTTAAACAACCAAAATAATCTTACTTTTTGCGATTTGATTCCACGTTTGTCTTTATTTGAATGGTGAACAGCTTCCACTACGGTTTGCAATTCGGTGTATAACTTAAGGCTCTTACCATGCGTCGAATGGGCCACACATTGCTTAAGGAACGCAGCCTATAAAAGAGATACAAGCTATTATTTCCATACCATAATGTCAACAATCGCCTATTGTATAGAACATGCAGTAGTGATTCTAACTCGCCTCTAACATCGACAGCTCAATCTTGACATTCTCGGTGGGATCGGTTAAGCCCTTTTGCAAAATGCTCTCTAATAGCAACACTCCATTATAGTCGGTTCTTACACCAATCGATTGCCCGTCACATATTAAAACTCTGTCTTCTATTGGAATGTATTTGCATATTATACTCCGGCCATTTTCTGCTGGAACAAAATACTGATTCTGGGCGAAAGTATAGATATATATACTATATAAACTATAAGTTTTTTCATTTTATTTTTCTCAACTAATTCAGAATAACAATATTTTTCAACTTCACTTCAAACTGATAAAACTTGAAAGCATTTCATTTCCAAAACGGTTGCAAATATGATAACAGACCTCTTTCCCTGATAAAGGATGAAACAAAATGTGTAACTTTCAAAAGCAAAATAAACCTAAAATTCGATGATTTAGTGAATCATCAAACAGTTGAAACTATAATCAACGGTTTTTTTCGAGAAAGCTCGTATCTGGAAATCGAACATAAGAAGATAAAATAAGGACTTCTCTGAAAACTCCACTCTGAAGTGTGTATGAATTCTTATAAATAAACGAAAAAAGTCACAAACGTGCAGCTGTAAAATGGGTTGAATTGTATTAGATTTATATCAGGGAAAAAATATTGAAATAAAAAATAACGATGTATATATTTACACAAGCAGAACGTGTTTTATTATGTTGTTGATACAACGAGTTCTTTAAGGCCCTCTTTTAAGACTAAAATTCATAGGTATAATTCGGTTGAGCTTAACCATTTATGCTTAGATTAGTGACTCTAAATTACGAGTCGATTTCGTATCGTAATTTAGATAATCGTCGGTATTTCCGATTGGATTCGCAATTTTGAATAAAATCGAACTTGTATGCCTTTTTTAACTAAATAACCTTGACTTTGTGTCATCTTTGCTTTACGAAGGCGGAATGAAGAAGCCATAAGAAATGGGTACCAAGAGTTTGCCTTCGACAGGCAATACACTCTGGAATATTCTATTCTTGAAGCCATAAAGCAATAAAAATAAGTGCTCTTATCGGCAGCAGTGCTATATGTAGAGGTATTTAGCACTCAGTTAAATACATGGCAACGCATTTAAAAAAATGTTAAAGGTAACAAAAAATATTTGAACCAAATAGCAAGTCACAGGACTTGCTGATATTTTCCAACCAGGAGTTTTCTGTGTAGAATTATTTACTTAACTCTACAGAGCAAATATGTTTATGACTTTTATAGTAGTCGTTGGAAAGGTGTCTGAAGTTTCTAGGATACCTTTGCCCAACTTTTAAAATAACTAAGGCACGATAACGGGCAGTGGGTGCTAGCAAAGCGAAGCAATATTGCACCAAATAGTTAAGTCATAGTATATTTTAGTAGGTACGCGATATGAATGAGTATGCCTTAAGAAAGAAAGGCTCATATGAGGAGTAACCAGATCTTGGAGGGCGGTACAACTAGAAAGTATTCGAGGCCTTACCGCTTAGATTTGTTGATTGCAAAATCACTCCAGAATTAACATCTAGAACCCGAACTACACCAAAATTAGTACAAATTATTATAACGTTGAGGGACGGATGATAGATAATCTCCTTCACATCAGTGTTCGTATTTAAGTTACCGTCCTCGTTCAGCAAGAACGCATCTTCGGCCATTTCGTAAAGCACATCTTGCGCCATCAAAAATCACATTTATCAATTTTTCGATTAAAGAATGAAAACGCGAGAGCTAAACCAAAAAATTAACAATTTGGAACGGGTGACAATAATGACATTGACATGCGATCAGAAAAATCACTGTTTTTAGTTACTGGAGTTTTCCTCTATTGGTCGGCTTGTATCAGACTATTGCACAGATTGTAAACTTCACGATTGCCAAGTAAGGCTAGTAATCCTAGATGACAACATAGAGAAAGTAAAATATTATTATTTTACTTACTCTATGGATGACAACACAAAAGGCAAAAAACCAGCAGAAATAATTATCAAAGTACGTCAATGTTCTTTCATAGCGGGAGCACAATTGTTTATGGTGAAACTTTCAGAAAATAGTCAAAATCTTTATATAAAAAATTGATCAGTTTTACATTGACTTTAGTTAATACTACTAACTAAAGTCAAGAGAATATAAAGAAAGAAATAAAAATATACAAACGAAACTTAATTCCAGCTACAATTGTTTTGTATTTATTATGTAACAGGTTAAATAAATTCGGAAGCAAAATGATAAAACAGACATGAAGAAAAATCATCAATTAACAGTTGGACTTAATGGCGAATGAACTGTTTTCCCTGCAAACTACAAAAAATGAAAAACTCAAATAAAGATACAACTTTTCTCTATATTTCGTGTGAAACGCTTTAATTCACTCATTTAGCAGCGAAAAATCATCAATTGTGCACAGAATTTGAATTAAATGGCGAAAGAGCTGATTTCTACTCTTAATTAGTCAAGAGAGTATACAGAAAGAAAGAAATAAATCAAATAAAACTAAAACTTTTCCCTACATTTTTTATGAAGCACTAATTTATTTCGCATCCAAAATCAAAAAAAAATCATCAATTGCGACTAAAATTTGCATTTGGATTTAATGGCGAATGAACTGATTTCGCCTTTGAACTGATTATACACAAAGAATAAAAAAGCGGAAATAAAACTACTACTTTCCTCTCTTCTAAACTCTTTGATTTATTTTGCATACAAAATAACAAAACTGTTTTAAATCAATAAATCATTAGTTGCGCTTCGAACTTGCACTTGGATTAAATGGCGAATGAAGGATTTTCAACTGTAAACTAGTCAAGAAAGTACACAGAAAGAAAGTAACACTTTTCTTTCTATCTGTGTTACACTTTAATTCACTTCACATACAAAATATTTACATTATTAGAAAAAAATCTTATGTGCGCATGAAACTCTTTTCAGGATGTAAAGGCGAATGGACCCATTTTTACAATGATTTAGTCAAGAGACTGTACAAAATAAGCACATCAAGAGGAAACTTAATCAACTCTACGACTATTTTTTTCATTTTATGTGATTGCTTGGGTTTTAACATTTTAATTGATTGCTTGGGTTCTCGGGTCTGAACCCAACGACGAAACTCTTTTGGAACGAAAAATCTTATTTACATTTTCAACTAGCATCTGGATCTAATAGAGAATGAACCCATTGTAATTACACAGGGTAAACTCAAAAAATTGCTGCAAATTTCCCGTGTTTTTTTAACGTTTTTTAATTTAATTTCTTAGTTACCTATTTTCGTTTCGGAAACTTCGCATGTTCAAGTGGAAAAATGTAATTAAGAAAAACAGTTAAAACAACTGAATAATTTGAATAAAATCTTATTAAACGTGTACATTTTTACAAAAGCAAGCTGCTACAACCGTTCGAAGAAAAAGGGGTTTTTGTTAATAGTTATTGTTGTATCAAAATTTGCGCTTTTTGAGTCGATAGCGGAAAAATATTATGAAGAATAATGGGGTTGTACGGTTTCGATAATTTTGATAAAAAAAAATAGGTGAAAGCAAAATGTTTTGAGCTTCAAAAGACGCCCATAAAATGTGTTCACTAGAAAAATGGCTTATGTTATCAATATCACCTTTATTGGCTTCCGCTTTCAGAAGCTGCAACATTTTTTATTTAATTTACACAGCAATTAAGCTCTTCTCAGTCTGGACTTCACCAAAGAGCGTCCAATTTGTTTTCAGTGAGGAACCAAAATGATAAAATAATATTTCATTCACTTTCTTTTTGGTTGGAATTTAGGTGCCATACTGCATGCAAAAGCCACTTACATAATACAAGCTGAAATCAGGTTCTTAAGAAAATTTCTCCGATCAAACAGCACAGTATTATCTGATCAGTAGCCGATTTAGCAGTAGCATCTTAAGATATTACAAATTTCTATTCAATTACCAAACGAGATAATTAATGAGTTTATGGGAGATAGTTAGAAAAAAGACAATATGCTTAAGGTAAGATATGAATTAAGATAACAATTTGAATAAAAAAACACTAAGTAATATGGAACGCTTTAGATGAGCTTGCTAGTTCTTTTCGTTATCGGCCTGGTCAGTTTGGTACATCCGATAGAATCATTGCCGATAGCAGAGGAGAAAAAGAATCCCAGATTTTTTGGCGATTTATTTGGATGGTACGCAACTACTACTAGCATGCGTCTCTTTATAAAGCTTGCATTGTGTGTAACTTTTAACCAGGTTTACTGGAGGTAACGGAGGTAGTAACAACCATAATCATCATCATCGACCAAACGGAGGAGGGCCGAGACCCATACAAACACTCATTTTGGGATACGTGGCCCAGCAGGCGCTGGATTACTATTTCGGAGGAGACAATGCAGGAGGAGGCGGTGGTGGAGGATGTAGTGGAAAAAAGTGCTAAGTGCAAATGATGCTCATAGAACAACTACAAGGACAATGTTTTGAAGAAATCACGTTAGGGGGGAAAACCCTGTGGCTTCCTCATGCCTGGCATTAAAAAGACATTTTGTTGTACTTATCGATTGCGTACTCAGTGGTTTTTCTTCGGGTTAGTAAATGTCGAAAAATGTATAGTTGTTTTTAACTCTCTAATGATTTTCTATTAATGTAGGTATTCCAATAGATTTATTTTTTTTATGGGGGCTTATTTCAAAAACCTGTTTTAGCGTCAATCTAGCTGGCGGAGCAATAAAAGTACTATTTTTCGTCTAAACTATATGCAACTTCTCGTACATAGCAGTAACATAACATCTGTTACACCTTGTATATACTTTCTCCCCCTTACAGCGCATTTCGCACAGTTCGCAGAAAACCTAACGTTGATTGGTGAGCTTTTAGAATCAAAACCCCGATTTTTGTGGGCATGGAAAAGTTGGCCTAAAAGTTAAAGTATTTACGTAACTGCAAGCTCTGTTTAATCAAATCCAAGAGGGGGGGGTGTCATGGGGGTCATGCCCCCCCCCCATTCAATTCTCTATCCAACGATGCCAAAATGAATTCTGTGGCTCGAATAGTTCGTGAGAAACTTCGAAAAAAGCAGCGTCATGTTCAAGTGGATTTTGCAATTAAAAAATAAACCACGCAAATCTAAAACTTCTTGAATTCAAGCATTTTTTGAGAAAACTGCCAGCATTTCCTTATCACTTTCTAAAAAGGCCATTTATTTCTCTCTAGAATTATGTACAAATGAGCGTTCTTGCTCATTTTGCCTCCGAGAAATGAGCAAAAATGGGACGGAAGACATGAAATTTTGGCATAATCTTGCACCTAAATGTCTGATATTCAAATTTCGCTTTCTGTGTCAAAACTACTCGAATTTCCTCACTCACGTTGTT